ATTTATTTATATATATATATATATATTTGCTTCTTTTCCATTTTGCATTTACTTGTACTTTTACTTTCAATACTTAAGTACGTTTAAGATTTAAAAAATACTCTTCGTACTTAAGTACAATAAATATCACATACTTTAAGACTTTTACTCAAGTAATATTCTAAACGGTGACTTCAACTTTTAACAAAGTAATTTTCTGGTAAGATATCTGTACTTTTACTTGAGTATGGCTTTCAGATACTTTAATACACCACTGGTGGCCAGTGAGCTGGGAGATGAATAAAGTGAACTTTAAAGTTACTTACACTATGTGTATCTGATATGAATAAAACACGTCGTCAAATTATATTTGAATGGATTGTTATTGCTGCTTCCATAGACATCAGTGTGTATTTTACAAATTCTAAATGTATTGTTTTACAAGTACTTCTTAGACATGTGCAGGTATTTGGTAATACAATATATCACAACAATGAACAAGCACAATATTGTTATCGTGGGCACTTCAAAATACTGTGAATAATTATTTATTACAAATTATTCAGGTTTTTCGAATGCATTTTAAGAATGCTTCTCCCATCAACTAGTTACAATGCACAACACCGCTGTATGCTGCGTCAAAGTGGCATGCGCACTCTGATATAAACAAGCCCAACATGGATGAGAAGCGCATGGCAGAACAAGTGAAGGAGATGCGCTGAATGAAAATGCACATTCACTCTCTGATAGCAGATGGCGCTGATGGAACAGCAGAAACGCAGCTGTTACCCCGGTAACCCCATAAACAAAGCAGCTGCACTACTTTCTGTCTCTGAACAAGATTTACATGTTTTAAATGTCTATGTATTATACTTCCTGCTTGCAAAAGAGCTACTATGCTGTAACATGGTGTAGCACAGCTGTCTTGGGCAACGCTGGTAAAATGACGCTACCCTCTCATTCACTGATCTGCTCCCCGCCAATAGCGCTACTCTGCTGTAACATGGTGTAGTACAGCTGTACTGGGCAACGCTGGTAAAATGACGCTATACCCTCTCATTCACTGATCTGCACCCCGCTATGCTCTGCTCACATGCTCTGATAATAATAGCTTTGTAGGACTATACATTATTTGGAGAATTAGTCAAAAAACAACAACAACAAAAAAGTTATATCTTATTCGGTTGCATAGAACTGAATAAAAATAATATATTGATATTTAATATTAATATATTTTCTGTACAATTTTTTGTTACTTTAAATAAAAGTGTGGTTATTTCATTGGCTTGTGTTTTTTAAATTCAGTATCATTAAAATTGTTGAGTTAAATTAAAAAGTCTCACAAAATTACACCGAGGCATAACATTATGACCACCTTCCTAATATTGTGTTGCTCCCCGTTTGCTGCCAAAACAGCCCTCAGCCCGAATTCGCTGAGAATTGAGATTTGAACCCATGTTTTTGGCATGCTAATGCCACATGCTGCTGTTTGAGCTACTGGAATGCCACATAAAACCTAAAACAAGTATCCAAGCTACTAATGACTGCAGTACTAAAGCAAAAATGTGTAAAGAGTTGAACAAACAGTAAGGATGCTTTATTGTGATGTGAAGCACCACCGTTAGCACAAAATAATACAATTTACAACTAGACAAAATAGCAACTTTCAAGTTTCGAATTCTTGTTAAACACAAACACATAATACAGATCATTACATTTATGCATTTGGCAGACGCTTTTATCCAAAGTGACTTGCATCGCATTAAAAAGGTACACATTTGATCAGTTCTTGCGTTCGATCCCATCAAATTGAAACCATGACCTTAGCATTGCTTCTTGCGCCATGATCTACTGTTTGAGCTACAGTAAGACATTTATGGCGCTTTTCCACTGCGTGGTACGACTCGGCTCGGTACAACTGAGCTGAACCGTACCGAGCCGTACCATGCAGTGGAAAAGTGCCATTAGTTCAAACTGAGAAAAAGCCACATTATAGAAAATGCCACCTTGTAACTGTGTTACAAACTGCTAGTATGCCTCAGCAGACTCCTGAGTTTTAACTAAACACTTTCCACTGGAGTCACTTGTTAAAAAAAATCTTGCCATAGATCATCTTGTTTCATATGGCAGTTCCTCTATGAAACACATGCAGAGTGGTGCATGTGTTTAGAAGACATTTTAAGGCTGTTTTTGCAAAATTCCATACAGCTGTTTATAAGGGAAAAGTTCAGGCTTTTACACAGACTTTTACAGCAGGACATCTTTAACCGCAGACTAATTTTCCCTCACTGTTTTTTTTTTGGTGCTGTTGAACAGGAAGCCAGTTAAATCGCACATCTGAGGCTGTGCGAGAACAGCAGTACTAGCCGCCGGAGACAGGTAAAAGTGGGAGGGAAAGCCTTACCTTTTTATTCAGCTTTAGCCATGTTGAGTAGCCTTTACTGTCCACGTACTGCAGACCGAAAAACCAGACCTCTCGCAGACCTACCGTCTTCACAACCTGCAGGATGACCATGAACAAATGAAGAGTTTGGTTCCAAAACGCGATAAACGCCATTAAAAAAAAAGCCAAAATCAGTATTGTAGCTGGTCAGTATTGAAAAGTCAATTTTTAATTTTACGCAAAATGCGATATCCGCCGAGTTATTCTGTCATGTTTTCTCCCATTTTTTTCCAAACCGCGACAAACAACAGTCTCCCTTTTCTGCAGAACGCGATATATCCGCTCAACCAATCACAAACGGTAACAATCAATCACAGCGCACCATTCCACGCACTGTAAACAGTAACAATCAATCACAGCGCACCACTCCACGCACTCTAGACAGTAACGGCGGCGCTTTGAATACACCCGGCATCCTAGTTTTCCTCATCTATTTTGTACTTTGTGATAACAAACTTAGGGCTGCACGATAAATCGCATGTGATTGTCATGCGCATCTCGTCAGTAAAGCCGGTTCTGTGAACAGTAAATCTCCATCACGTGCTTTCAGATGGAGCAGCATTACACAGAGCCGTAGATCACTGCAATATTGCGTTCATAATCGCAGATGAGTCACATTCGATTATGAACGCGATATTGCGTAGCTTGTCAGTGTGTTTTTATTAATGCCATTAATGTTTTTGTTAATACAGCGTATAGCACTAGTCAACTAAATGAATGTAACATGGCAAAGATGAATGCACTTTTGGAAGTTGAATGTAAGGGAAATGTCATTTTGGAATTTCTGTGGTTTAATGTGATATTGTTGTTCATGTATGTTCAAGATGAAATTTTCTTTTATTGTTGTAATTAATTTATAGCATTAACAAGATGACCCGTTGAATTCTTTTTGGGAGCCATGACTGATTGAATGTATTTTTAGTCCAGTGCCTGCATATAAGATTAGTATTGACCAAGTTCAGAGGCTGTCAACTTCATTTTCAATATGAAAAATAACTTTTATATTGATTCAATGGATTTATTGCATTTTGGGAAAAATAATGTGTCATGGATTTATTGCATTTTGGGGAAAAAAATAATTCAATTTTATAATAAATCTTTGAAAATCAAAATCTGGATTTGAATTTTGAATGTTATTATAACCTAAAGATGCTTTGTGAAAGTTTGAAACAGAAAATAGTGGTTTTCATCTTGCCACTTTCTTGGTAAAGAAAACAAATTGTTACTCAAATAAATCAAAATGGATTTATAGCGTTTTGGAACCAAATAAAATAAAATCTAAAATCTCTTCAAATAAATCTTATTCAACAATCAACATAAATCTGAAAGAGCCGTAATATAGGGTACAATGGGGCTAACGGCGCCCCGGGGTAAAAAGCGCCTTTGATTTTATTTTCCTCTATTTCCTCTACCACTAGATGGCACAAAAAATTGGCGTAGCACTTTCTAAAATATCCGCTTTTCAAGATGTGCAAATTTGGCTGATCCTTGACACGTTCGCGGAAATTGATTCTGTGCTAATTTGATCTAATATTTGATGTTTTTTTAAAAAATGTTGTAAATTTAAGTAGCAAATGAGAATCGCTAAAATTATTGATTATACAGTGGGTACGGAAAGTATTCAGACCCCCTTAAATTTTTCACTCTTTGTTATATTGCAGCCATTTGCTAACAATATAACAAAGAGTGAAAAATTTAAGGGGGTCTGAATACTTTCCGTACCCACTGTATTTTGGGACAAAGGTATTTTTAATGATTTTCAGTTTTGTTTAAAGTAATTGAAGCAACAGTTTTTCAATCACGGAAGAATATGTATAAATTATGGTATTTGGGGTAAAAAGCGCCCCTGCTGTTGGGGTGAAAGACACAATAATTAACATGATAATAAATAGCTGGCTGACTTTTCCATTGTTGACATGACATGGTTAGATTCAGATGGTAAATATCACAAATTATATTGGCGGTCCAACTTACAGATAATCACCATGTTTGAAATGAAATCATCATATTTAAAAATATGATACTTATAATATCCAGGGCTCCCAAAATCGCTAGCCCGACGTCGCAGTGTGTCCTCAGGCAAAATATATCACTGGCCTGCCTGACGGGCTATCTTGAATACAGGGTTTCCGCGGGTCCTTAAAGTATTTAGTTGTATCAAATTTATGGCCATAATTTTTTTTTTACATTTGTCAGACCAAAGCGAAAATCGACCCATGTTTTTACACAGCAAACACGCAGAGTTGTAAATGTGAAAGAAGCTAAGGTGCCTTCTAATTTTAATATAATTATTTAAATGAATATAATAATTTATACGTTTGACTCATCCCTTTTCTTACAAATGATTAAAGGCTGAAATATGATTTTTATCATTTTATAAGATTTTCATGTTTTTAAGTTTTTGTGAAAACCTGTATCTGAACTGTAAATCGTGTCATTTTACGGCTTATTATGTTACCATAGACACTGCCCAACTCCACTCATACAGTGTTAATTTTATTATTGTGCAGGTCTTAAAAAGGAGTTTTAAAAATTCTGGAGACACCCTGTAAATAGTGAAAAAAATTCCTTCCTTGATATTTGTGCTTTGAAAATGTTTTGATTGACATTTTGACTATACTATCCAATATATATATATATATATATATATATGTAGGGGTGGGGTAAAAAAATCGATACAGCATAGTATTTTCCACGGCAATACTGTATTGATACACGGACGCCAAGTATCAATCTTTTATTATACTATTTGGCAGAATAACAAAATCAATTTCTTTATAGTCCACTAGATGGTGGTGTTGAGTTTTTTCTAAAATCCTTTAAGGCACGGCAAGCCATTGATTATCCCGCTTATTCCATGGTAATTTGCCAAGTTATAGACAAGTTAAAACCAGTATTGCTCTTTGCAGTGCAATATTTGACCGAATGGGTAAATGTCTTTTATTAATTTACATACACACTTGACCGATTATCCCGCTTATTCCATGGCCATTTGCCAAGTTATAGACAAGTTAAAACTAGTATTGCTCTTTGCAGCACAATGTTTGACTGAATGGGTAAAAATTATGTTTATTTTCGTCAGTTATGGAATTATAGAATTACAGAATTATAACATTTATTTGAATTATCGATTGTTTGTTCGAGAGAGAGAGAAAGAGAGAAAGATGACAGTTGTGTGTGTGAATTACCTGTCTGTGCGTCTCTCTCTACAAACAATGAAGTTGTTAGTTTAATTACTTAAAGATTTTACCTCTTCGTTGCTGAGGAATATAATGCAGTGATCATCACATTTATTTGAATGAATTATAGCATTTATTTTAAGTATCGATTGTTTGATCGAGAGAGAGAAAGATGACAGTTGTGTGTGTGAATTACCTGCGTCTGTGCGTCTCTCTCTACAAACATTGAAGTTGTGAGTTTAGTTACTTAAACAGAAATTTAACCTCCTCGTTGCTGAGGACTAAAATGCATTGATCCAGTATCTAAGTGGTTTTATAATAAAAGTCGCGGGGCAGCGTTGACAAGTTTATGTTGGCCTAGTCCTGAACGTTTCTGTGTGCGCAGCGGGATCTCTGATCTCTCTCTCTCTCTCTCTCTGTGTGCAAGTGATGTGTGTGTGCGTTTGTGTGTGTCAATTAAAGCAGCGGCGCATTAATATAGATCAGTGATTAACCTGACATGGATCTAAATGTGCATTAAACGGTTTTAATGCATATCTGCCAGCCAATCAGAATCAAGAATTCCAACAGACAATGGAATAAATGAAAGTAAAACATTCTAAGAGCACAGCAGTGTATAGTATACCTGTTGTAGCACATTGTTTACTTTAAGAGTACATGTTATGTTTAATTTTAAATGTTTTATTTTAATTTAAGACTATGTTTTATGTATTTTAAACTTAACAGTAATTTACTTTCAAATGCCTCAATTGCTGAAGGGTCTGCACAACTTTTTAGTACAATTTCAAGTTGCACTGTTCAAAATATCTGTAGTAGCACAGCAGTGCATACCTGTTTACATTTAATTAAGGTGGACTAGACTAGACTGTATTACAAATAGTTGAGTTTGCCAGGTGCATACAACATTTATGACAGGTTTTCATGAAAACCTTTGGTCAGTTTGTCTGCTTGACAACCCCATTTTGCACTGCAACAATAAAATTGAAGTGAGATAAACAAACTGATCAATTTTTCTTTTTAGTTAAAACAGATGTTGCCAAAGTTTTCATTTGGGGACATAATTTGAAGTTGGAAAAAGGTAATAAATTGCAATATATCACAGAATATTGCAATATATTTAAAATCGCAATAAGATTGTATCGTGACAATATCGTATCGTGGGGCCTCTGGTGTTTCCCACCCCTAATATATATACCAAAATCTGAAGAGTGCCTGCCCAAAGGGCTACCAGGGATTTTGAAATTTTTCGAGCCCTGATATCATATAATAAAATATAATTTGTTGTTACTACAGTAAATTTATATTAATTATGGAATCTCCTTCAATGCTTTCAGAATCTTTACTTTTTAAAATTATTTTGTTTCTGTATTTTTTAAAATATATTTTAATGCGTAAAAAACCTGCGTGACCATAGCAACCTGCAATTTATCAGAGATGGATAAAACATTTTTATCCAACCCACAGTCTTGTAAATTCATTAACTGATCGTGTTTTTTTATTTAATATTTGTATATTATTATTATTATTAAACTGTAATATAATCATTTAATAATATTATTATATTAACTGGTTTACGGCTATATTTTTATATTTATTGTTGTATTTCCCCTTTCAATTCGTGTATCGCTTTACCTAATTAACGCTCTGTATAATTATTAATATGCTACAATATATTTAGCAAATACTGTAAATGCCTGACAAATATGCAAATAAAGTTTTGACTTTATGATTGTATTTACGCCCATCGTGGCCACAATAAAACTAAGTGAACCGAACATGTCCACTCCTGGTCACCGTAGGGAAGTGATTAAATGAGTAAATACAGGTGCATCTCAATAAATTAGAATGTCGTGGAAAAGTTCATTTATTTCAGTAATT